AGGAGGAAGGAAGGAAGGAAGGAAGGAAGGAAGGAAGGAAGGAAGGAAGGAAGGAAGGAAGGAAGGAGTGGCCTCTCTGGGTATCAGGGGAAGACCTGTGTGTGAGAGCAAAACTATAAAGAAGAATTCACTTGTTTTCTATGTATCTCTTTCCTACTCCCAAAGATGCCTGTGGCTCCAAATTATGTGGATGCTCCTGGGAAAGCTCCTCTGATAGAATAATTGTCAGCAACGTCATAGAAATTAAGACCTAGTGACTAATACTAGTCATGCTATGAGTTGGATCTGGCAAAGTTTATGCACCAAAGCTAATTTTTTTTTTCTCATTAGGGTTCATGTCTGGGTAACTTCTAGCAGCAGATCAGTGAGGGTGCCTGAGCCAGGGTAAGGTCCAAATGGTCTGACCCTCTACAGTAGGGCCAAGTCACAGGTTAGCAGGCCAAAAAACAAAGCTTGTGTGCTTTCCCACCCAACTGTGTTATTTCTATTTAAAAAACAGAAGTATTAAAATGTTCTGTTTACTAGTTAATAGTAAGTAATATTACTAATATTAACATAATTTATCTTTGTAAGGATGATATGTAATTCAGAATCTAACTTAGGAAAATGCAAATCCTTTATTCAATAGTTACTGAACTGTTTACTATCTCCACTATCTGGTTTTATTGCAAATTCAAGAAGAATAGCACAACCTAACTCAACCAGTTGGAAGACTGTAGGAGGAATCCTGGAATTTTCCACACTTCTGTAGGTTTTTAGGATCCCCAAAGCCATCTCATACTACAAATATAGCTGCCTTACCCGACTCTGACTCTCACTCACTGTCCCTGTTACTGGCAGCAGGCACCATTTCCTATACCCCAGCCAATTGGCCTTGATTTTTTCATTTAAAAAGCTCATAGTAGGGCTGGGGATGTGGCTCAAGTGGTAGCGCGCTAACCTGGCATGTGTGCGGCCTGGGTTCGATCCTCAGCACCACATACAAACAAGATGTTGAAAACTAAAAGAATAAATAAATATTAAAATTATAAGAAAGGTCATAGTATACTTTTAATTCTTTTTAATGGAGCTAATACATCATATTTTAAAATATACTTAACAGACTTCCAGCTAAAGATGGTAAAGACAATTTTCACTCTATCCCTGCTGTTTAAAGTCCACCAAAACGAGGAGGAGGAGGTGGAGGAGGCAGGAAGGAATTAGGGGTAGAATAATCTTCAGTGAGATAAGGAAACAATGTACAAATGATGGACATCATCTGCAACATCACCCAATACTGCAGTGTTGGACTCAGATACGGATCTGCTTGATTACCCAGCAGGTTTCCTCCAGGTACAGGTAATACCACTGGTCAGTCATTTGGACAAAGACAAAATTAGATCCAACATATTTTGCATAATATATACAGAAACAAATTCCAAACAGATCAGCTATCTCAATATAGGGAAAGGCTTTTAGCTGTGACTCAAAACCCAGATGCAACAAAGGAAAGACATGGTAACCAAATCACAATGTTTATAAATTGCTTGGGAGAAGAAAAAAACTTCTCCCAAGTTAAAAGACAACCAACAAACTTAGAAAATCAGTTTCTACACATATCACAAATAATGAATTAATAGACTTAATATATAAACAATTCTTCAAAATTGAGGGGGAAAGGATTTAAAAGACACAAAAGAAAAATGGGCAAAATATCTGAACAGACGATTTATAGGAAAAATGGTTCTTCAATGTATAAAAATATGTTCCATCTCACTCATGATAAGATAAATGGAAATTAAAACCACATTGAGATACGGTTCTCATCTATCAGACAGGCACTGGGTTGTCGAGACCATACGGGAATCAGCACTCTTAGCGATTATTGATGACAGTCCAGAGTATAACAGTCCTTCTGGAGGAAATTTGTCTCACTCACAAAACTACATATACTTTTACCTTTTAACCCAGCAGTCCTGCTTCTGGGATTTCCCCCTAAAGATACACCTAACACTAGAAAATATCGGAAACATCCTAAATGTACATACAGCAGAGTGAAGGAGTAAAATTGTAAGACATCTACTTGAGGGAGCACCAAGTCCAAAAATGAAGATGTCTAAGAATTGATTGGGACTGATTTCTAGAACACAGTAGAGAAGAAAGTCAAGTGCAAAAGAACATCTGTGGCCTTTTGTGGAAAGGGTAGATTAGAAAATAGACATCTATGTGCTCACTTGACCAGAGAGAAATATTGCAAGGATAAATGAGACTGGCCACCTGCAGGGTATGACTGGGAATGGAGCAAAAAGGGCCGAAGAAATAAGAGAGGAAATGACACTAGATTTATTTTTGAAGTTTAAAAAATTATTAATTTTTTTGGTGTGTGTGTGTGTGTGTGTGTGCAGTCCTGGGTTTGGAACTATGTTAATATATCACACAGAGAGAATGAAGGAGGGAAGGAAGCCAGGAAGAAAAGAAGGAAGGAGGGAGGGAAGGAGGGAGGGAAGAAGTCACTACGCAGGGAGGAGGGGGCTCTAAAATTGAATGCAAATAAAATGTAACCGAATCACAATTCAAATGAATAACATAATCATGATGAAATGGGGGAAAAGAACAAATTTAATTAACTTTTGAAAACAGTACTTGGACTATATAGCCTCAGGCTAAAACCACAAAGAATTCTAAATAAATATTGGATTCTAATTAGGAAGCCTCTTTTTTCCCAGAGACATGGATGAGCTGGCAGTTCTGAAACTTATTTTCTGAGTGGCCTAGAACTGAGCAAGTCAGTATGGATGGTGGATAATGGGAGTCAAGTTTCTTATTATTGGAGAAGGAGTTACAAATATGGAAAGGGGTCAGGGAAGAACAGACCCTCTGGTATCAAGATAAAATTGGAGGTGTCAGTGTGAACTCATGGGTTTTAGCATAACTAGATATAGAAATGGGTATTGATTGTGAGAATGTGTGTGTGTGTGTGTATGTGTGTGTGTGTGTTTGCACATGTGTGTGTATGTGTGCATGAGTGAACATGTGCATATCTACTGCATTTCCTAGTTCTGTGTCCTGAGAGACTGCAGACACCCACCCCCTTGCAATAAACACACCTGGTGCCCAGAACTTGGTTTCTAAATACTGTTCTCCATTGAAGGAACCAGGGTTCTTGGAAGAAAGGCTGATTCCAGGTTGAGACAAGGAAAATACAAGATAAACCTGGACTATCTTGTACTGAAAAGTAAAGAAAAACAATAGTAAAGGAAGTTCAAACAATCACGGGCACATGCCAAAAGGGCACAGTAACTGTCTTGAAGATGTCTTTACTGGCAAAATACGCGACAATTGATAGTAAAGGATTCTAGCCCATTAAATTGATGCTTACATTGAGATAATTTAAAAAGTAAATGGGAGGGGGAGTTCTCCCTCTTTGTATATTGATTTCTTGATGTTTATATATTTATTTTTAAGCAACTTCATTGACATATATTTCA